AGATTTCTATCCCAGTGCACGATTGATAGCCCAGGCATTGACAATGGCCATAGAGGAAATGGAAGACTTTCCTGTACCAGAACTTGGAATGGCGAGTTGTTGGATAATAACTAGCCATTTGATCACCAACATAGACACCTTTGATGCCATTGTTGTAATCTTTTACTACCAACGGCTTATCCCCAAGGACAGCATCCCCATCTTGCTGCTGCAGTAATTGAAATCACCCCTCCTCCTCACAGATCCTCGGTCCTTGGGCATTAACTTCCTCTTCAGCCGAGCTGTCCCTACCGCATTAGACCTATGTGACTGCAACAAATGAAAAAGAATTGGCAATGTATACCAGTTATCCACAAATAACTGATACCTTTTCCCAAGGAAGCCACCAAATTCCATCAAGTGCAGCACTGCTTTCGTGGACAAGGGCAAGTCGCCACGTTCCTGCTAGGTGTACACCTTGAAGCAAAAGGTGTACTTGCAGCTGACAGTACTGGCACAAAGCTTTTAGACCCTGAACCCGAACCACACCCTCTTGGTTGGGTTGTAGGTCTTGAAGCCTAGTTGCCCTTGGAACTTCAATGGCAATGTCCTGCCATGGCACGAACGTCATCAAAATGAGTTGTTGAGTCCATGACTGGTCGGAGCTTCCACATTGTTGGAATAATCAAATATGGTTATTAATATAATGATACTTTTATTTCATGTATCAGTGATATATCTCATATTACCTAAACTAAGGTAAAGTTATATTTTGTTAAGTTACCCATGTAAGAGTATGTTTTCTGTTATGTACGCCATCTAATGGCAGACTTTTAAATTCATGATAAAAACAATCCTCGGTTGTGCCAAGTAGATCTTCCTCAATACATAGAGTTAAGCACATCAACTCTGTATTTTACTGATCCCCACAACAATGAGTTGGTGATGCAGGACACGGTTGGTTGACCAGTAGTCATGGTAATTGGGAAGTTTGAACATCCCTATTACCACGTGGATTCCAAAGTATTCCATCATCTCCTGCCTGGATGTGGGTGTCCACTTCCTTTTGTAAAGGAAGGCGGCAGGAGGGTGGGCAACTGCATACCTGTGGGAGTGGAAAAGTAAAACAAACAAGTAATACATTCTGACTGCTCAGTGCAAGAGATATTTAATCAATATGGATAAAAATGGAAAGAACTCAAAATCAATAATGAAACTTACCATTTGGTGTCCAGGAAAATGTGATCAAAGAGATCTTCAGTGAAAAAACAGCCAAAGATCTTCAAGGGGGTGGTCAACATGTCCAGTGTCACCTTGATGCCAGGATTGAAATCAGTGACGTTTGGGGACATCTCGGTGTTGCCAAACGTACTTCTTGCTCCCTGGAGCATTCCTTAATTGCAGATTTTCTGCCACACTGAAGAGTCTCTCATTGCTATCGAGCCTGAAACATGTAGTCCAGTTCCTCGTCCGATCTGGATACGTTGGAGCAGTGGTCAGTGGTGTCCTCTGCCCTACTGGGGAGTCACTCATCCCCATTCTCCTCAGAATAGAGGTCAAAAAAGGTGAAAGAACAGGGAGAGTTTGGAGACGGCGAAGATCAGTGCGAAATACGTTGCCATAGTGCTTTTGCAGGAGGCACTGAAGTGGTCGATGGTTGGGGGTCATCGACCTCAGAGGAATAAGAGGAGCATCTGCGAAGGCTTGAGTAGCATGGCATTGCGAGAGTGAGTAATGAATGAGGTGCAAGCACTTCTATATATAGAGGAAAATTCCAGCACATTGACCTGGCGGGAAACATGGAAGCAACAGTAGCAAATGAGGTCAAAACAACCCCAGTCACATGTCACATAACATGACCAATCCCATCATTGTGTACTGACATCACTTCCATACGTGACGCCATTTACCATTTACTCTTATTTAGAATTATTCTTTTGTCATAATGATAAATAGGTGGTTTAAGATTATATTGCTTATGTATAAAATGTGATATATCAGTCACCTTATTAAGGTTACTGATGATAAAATAGTAATAAGAGTCCTGAAGAATATGATGGTAATAAATAATGTGACTGCTACCTATGAGGAATGTGCAGTTCTCAAGCCCCTGCTATAACATTAAGCTTTATTACATTTTGTACATGTAATATGAGTAATATCAATATATTTTTCAGTGCAACTTGGCCTGAAGGTGTTCGCAGCTTAGCTGCTAAACTCTTGAAAAATCCTATACATGTTGTTGTGGGAAGCCTTGACTTGCAGGCTGCAAGTACAGTATCACAGCAAGTAATAATCTGTAAAGAAGAAGAAAAGAGAGATAAGGTATGTTTACAAATACTTAATATATTGGATTGAACTATCAGGTACAGAAATCTCTGAGAAACATTGCAGATTAAAATCCTGATAGTGTGTTACTACAATTGCAGATTTTAAGTAGGATTTTTCAAAAAAACAGTCTTCAGATCTTGAAAGTATATTTGTCAATATTTGCCTTATGGAGTGTTTTCTTTTTTTCTTTTCTTTTTTTTTTTTTTTTTTTTTTTTTTTGCCTCTGATATTTTTATTTCCCAAATCATCATCAGATATTTTAGAAGTTGGCTACAACTTTGCAGATAGCCTATCAAAGTACCACAAATAATTTGTGTCCATTTTCCATAGCTCTTGCTCTATAGAGGCCACTGTTATTATGCTAAAGTTTGATTCAGTATTGATTGATACCTCTCAGCATTTTAGACCAAATTTACATGCCATTTGGATACTTGTTTTATTATTCTTCAGCCTTTATTGTTTTTCTTTGATATTTGTAAATGTGCGTAATTTGCTTTCCAGTTGCTGGACTTCATTAACAGATTAGGTGAAGAAGATAAAGCCATAGTGTTTGTGGGCAGGAAGAGCATGGTGGATTATCTGTCAGTGGAGATGATGGAAGAAGGAAAATGTGTAAGCATTTTCACATTTTCATTTCATATTGCTGGTAAATTGCAAACACCATTCATATAGAAACATGTTTCAGTTAGAGCAAGTTCAAATGCTGCATATACATTAACCAGTATCTGGAGGGCCACGCCAATAGCTGTCAAAGCAAACCAACTCATTACGCTAGGTACAGCTGTAGGTGTTGTGACGCACTAGAGCAAGTCAAGCAGATAGATCCACTACACGTTTGCCAGAAATCACTGGAATCAGTGACACCCAGAAATATCTAATACTATCATTGAGGGATTAAATATGAACAATTAAATGAAAACAGATTTTTTATTGGTGTGGTCCACTTATCAATAGTCAGTATATTAACCCCTTCACGATAGGTGACGCCTATAGGCATGAAAACAAACCACTTGAAATGTGGTGTGCGGCTGTACACCGCGGCGGCGTGCCAAAGTGCGGCGAGCCAGTGATTAGACCTGATGTGCTGAACTCCCACGCTCCAAGTCGGCGCACTGCCATTGATAGCCAGAGCGTAGTTTCTTTTTAGTTTTCTTCACCCGTCTCCATTGGGTTAATCCTTCTATGATGGTGCCAGAAATTTCTGTGTCACTTATTCCAGTGACTTCTGGCAACTGTCTAGCATTTTGGCGAGGGAGTTTCCTGTGTATATACAAACTTCCCGCTTGAGCCGTTACACCTATAGCTGTACTCATCACGATGAATTGGTTTTTCATGTCGCCTTAAGGTGTAAGGTGATAGTGGTGTCTGATTTCAAGTTCACATTGATTAATTTCTGGTGGCTTTTGGCACTGCTTTAATTGATGCCCTAAAGTCTGTTCATTATGTCATTAACTGTTTTTAAGGTCAACTGTCATTCATATTGTGACATTACTAAGGTAAACAACTGGGAATACAAATAAAATTTACAACCATTTGCTCTATTGAATATTGCATTCTTGGGTGATCATATTAGCCTGTTGCAGATGGTTCAGATAGTACCAAGGTGGCAGAAATTAATGTAAGATGAATGTGGCTTGTCTTTCAGGTACAAAGCATGCATGGGGATAGAGAACAAGAAGAGAGAGAGAAGGCTCTAAGTGATTTGAAGAGTGGCAGAGTAAGAGTCCTCCTTGCAACAGATGTTGCAGCTCGTGGAATTGATGTTATTGATATTACGTATGTACCTCTATGATCTATCTCTGAATTACGTAGACTAGGTTTTCATCAATATTTGTGTTTTTAATCTTTTAAGAGGTTAACTATTTTTCTTTAATATTCAGGTGTTGTGAATCAGTTATGAGGTAGAATTTGCCCTAATTAATCCCTTAGATCTGGTTGCATCATGGCAGTGACATGACCAGAAATCTTGGCAGTTGGCTTATATAAGTGGCTGCTCTGCCAGGTGGTGGCTTGAAGGCCAGGCGCATGTGCATGCGATCATGTGTGTGCAGTGACAAGACTCTCCTATTTGCAATGTTATTTCCTCTTTAAACGCATAAGGGTTTTTAGGTTTATTACCATTTTCCAATGTGCATATGTCATTTGATTTGCATTAGCCAAATGGTAATAGACTGTTTTCTTTGCACAGACTCCATATCATATCTCAGGTAGTCTAGTAGTCTACAACTCACTACAAGAAAAATTAAAATGTTATTTTTCTTTTACATTCCAATTAATGAGAACAATGCAAAATCTCCAAATGAATCAAATCAACCTCCCAATAGGTTTATGTACTTGTGGCAAGTCTTTCCCTTTCCCTGTTACACCGGCCTTCAGCTACAACACTCATGACAGCAGGTTCATGCCACGCAGCCTGCAACCAGATTTCCCCATGACAACATGTTCATGTCACCCACCCTTCGAGCCAAGTTTTTTCATGACATGATGGTCATGTCACCTGGATCGAAGGGGTTATTAGACACATCCTAAAATTTCATTACCTATGTAATATGAAGGAATGGGGAGAGCTTGCTGTTAAGGACAAACCTATATTTGATAATTAATTATGTAATGAATCAATTATATGGTATAGTCTGTCTTTTGGTTGATAGACATCTTGAATTTAATTTTATAGACTAGCAATTTTTTGTTAATATTTTAAGTTAATCAATTATGAGGTCAAAGTTTGTTTATCATTAATAGTTACATCCTGAATTTTGACTGCCCACGTGACATGGAGGAGTATGTGCATCGCATTGGACGAACAGGAAGGGCTGGCCGTCAAGGACATGCCTGTACTTTCATTACCTGGAAAGACTGGAAAAATGCTGGCAAGCTCATTGAAATTTTGGAGAAGTCGGGTGAGGTAAGCTGCTGCTAAATGAAAGATAGTTGCTTTATTGCCAAGGCTAATTTCCTACTCATGCTAATTAAGTAGAAAGGGTGAAAGGTGTTTAACTGATATGGTTAATTTAACCCAACACTGCCAGGTGAAGAAAATAAATAGAAACTCTATACTCTGGAGATTAATGGCAACAAGTCAACTTTAAGCGCAGGAGTTCGCTACATCAAGCCAAACATATCAGCTCAAAGCGCTCTGGCGTGTTGCCACCGCATACAGCCGTACTCCACAGACCAAGCAGTTTGATATGACGCCACAAGGCATGACCAGGCGGTATTGGGTTAAATGGTTGAAGATATTTCCTCTGATCAGTTTAAGTATAAGATTGTACAATTAATCCCTTGGATCTAGATGATGTGACCATTATGTTATGAAAAAAATTGGGTTGAGGGGCAGGTGACATCACTGTCCTGTCATGGAAGAGAGAGAGAGAGAGAGAGAGAGAGAGATGGAGTGGAAGAGAGAGAGAGAGAGAGAGATGGAGTGGAAGAGAGAGAGAGAGAGAGATGGAGTGGAAGAGAGAGAGAGAGAGAGATGGAGTGGAAGAGAGAGAGAGAGAGATATGGAGTGGAAGAGGAGAGAGAGAGAGATGGAGTGGAAGAGGAGAGAGAGAGAGATGGAGTGGAAGAGAGAGAGAGAGAGAGATGGAGTGGAAGAGAGAGAGAGAGAGAGAGATGGAGTGGAAGAGAGAGAGAGAGAGAGAGATGGAGTGGAAGAGGAGAGAGAGAGAGAGATGGACGTGGAAGAGAGAGAGAGAGAGAGAGAGATGGAGTGGAAGAGGAGAGAGAGAGAGAGATGGAGTGGAAGAGAGAGAGAGAGAGAGAGAGATGGAGTGGAAGAGAGAGAGAGAGAGAGATGGACTGGAAGAGAGAGAGAGAGAGAGAGATGGACTGGAAGAGAGAGAGAGAGAGAGAGAGATGGACTGGAAGAGAGAGAGAGAGAGAGAGATGGAGTGGAAGAGAGAGAGAGAGAGAAAGAGATGGAGTGGAAGAGAGAGAGAGAGAGAGAGAGATGGAGTGGAAGAGAGAGAGAGAGAGAGAGAGATGGAGTGGAAGAGAGAGAGAGAGAGAGAGAGATGGAGTGGAAGAGAGAGAGAGAGAGAGAGAGATGGAGTGGAAGAGAGAGAGAGAGAGATGGAGTGGAAGAGAGAGAGAGAGAGAGATGGAGTGGAAGAGAGAGAGAGAGAGAGAGAGATGGAGTGGAAGAGAGAGAGAGAGAGAGAGAGAGAGAGAGATGGAGTGGAAGAGAGAAAGAGAGAGATAGATGGAGTGGAAGAGAGAGAGAGAGAGAGATGGAGTGGAAAAGAGAGATGAAGTGGGAGAGAGAGGGGGGATGGGGGAAGGTGTAAGGGGGATAGAGAAGATGGGATAATAGATGAGGTTAGGTGGGAGGGATGGGGGATTTTGGGGGATTTGCACACACATGTTTTTTTAAGAAATTAGGAATACTTTCATTGGCTGCAAAATAAAATTGCATAAATGGGGAATATAAGTCCTTTGAGAGGAAACATTCCTTCAGTTTTAGAAAGCAAGTCCTCTCTCCTCTGTTGCCCCTCATGGACTTTCTCAGCACAAAGGTGAGCATGTTATACCTTCACAATGCTGTCAACGGTTCATAATAGCTAGATGGTTACAATCTTGGACCAACATGGTCAAAAGAGGCTTAAGCCACGTGTGGTGTTGACCACAATGTTAGGATAAAGGGGTTGGGCATGAGTGACCAGCTGACTCAGTTATGACCCAACCTCTCGCAAGACCATCAAGTGGACTACTAAAGTCTTTTACAAACTGATTGAGATGATGGTCACCAGTTCATTCTTAAGTGATATCAGGCACACAAGTATTACTTGCATACCGTGTTATGACCATTCTAATATAACTTTTGAGCTGTATTACTGATATGATAATGGCAGCTTTTATAATGTTCAAAGCATCATGACCTTCTCACTATATTATATATCTACTAGGTAGAATAGAACCATTTATTTTTTCCTTAGATTAAAGAAACATATTAGTTTGATGTCTGTTGCAGAGTGTCAGTTCCTTTACCTCAGTAAATTCCACATATAGCTGTCAGTGATGACTGTTGTAGCTGTTTCTTTTTTTGTTGCCCAGCTTGATTTACATCTCATTACATTATTATAATTATTAATGTCTATGTTAGTATTAGTACCAATGTTATTGATATTATCATCAGCAGCAATCATTTTACCTTCTTAGTACTACAACTAGTATAATGTTTATTTTTTCCCCCCTCCCGATTCTACAGGAGGTTAATCGTGAACTTTACCGCATGAAAGAACGTTGGGAGAAGACCAAGGAGGAGCGTGGACTACAGGATCGATGGGGACGATACAGTCACACAGCCCAGAGAGAAGGGGGTCATAGATGGTAGATGAGCATTGGAATATGATTCAGTTTTGAGTTCGTGTTATTCACATTTTGCGGTATTTTATTATTTCTTTGGCATTTTTAAATTTCTTTTCCTAAATACATTTTTTTTATTTATTTTTTTTTTATTTATTTATTTATTTTTTTTGTGTGTGTGTGTGTTTACGAAATGCTAATCATGTTTTATCAGTGGTTATAATTGTTTTTGTCTTTTGCCATTAAAGATGTAAATGGAAATTATACATTATTTTTTTTATTTGTATATCTATAATTTATACACTCGCATGGATCTTATGATACCACATAGCCTTACAGGTGAAATTTATTTTTATTGCATTAGATATTAGTTATAAGGAGTATATATTTATATGTAAGTTGATAAAAAAAAATTATTTTGTTATTTCCTCATTTGTTGTTTTGTATTTTAGAAAATTGCAAGGAATAGAATAAAATTATACTTGTATATTGTGTTTTCTTTCTCCTGTATTGTATGTTCAGTGATGAAGTTAACAAATAAGTGAGAGTAATGTTAAATCTAAGACATATATTTAATAATAATATATTAAATTGATTGTCATGTAGAAGAAGGCCAAGAATTAAAGATTTTTTTCTTTTTCTTTTCTTTTTTCTTACTTGCAAATTCTGCTTCAGTAGATATCATTTTACGTTTGTTTAACTCTGGCTTTAATCATGTTACGCACATTAAATAATGTGTATGTCAGTGAAATATAACAGCCAAATGTTTTGTGAATTTCATTAAAAAATCATATTTATCTGATATGGCTTTTATTGTCCCAAGATGACAGACATATGAGAATGGCATTGGGGAGAAAAGGTTCATAAAATAATGTACATTTTATTATGATTGTAATAAACATTATATGCCATGATGCTATATATTTACATATTGTTGCACTGTATATTTACACATCAAGATAAGATATTCTTTAATACTTGTATCCATGTATTAAAGAATATCAGAATCATCACTTATCTGAAACATGTGTTGTGTTATCCAGTGTTAGCATTCTCTTCTAGGAATCTTTCTGATCTGCATTCAAATCCTGCACTGCAAGTAGACGGTAACCCTGGCCATTCCTTTCTTACAGGATGAAATAAACTGGAAGACAAACATATAAAGAATCATTGTAATAACTTCAATTAATAAATATTCTTTTTGTTATATTTGTATTCCTAAAATGCTCAGTTCTTATTTAATTATTTTCCTCTAATAAGATTGTTAACACAGTTAGTACTTTCTGTATCTTAAAGTAATGCAAAAGTAATAACAAAGACTTCTGTACAGTTCCTTCATCAGGTATTGGGAAAAAAGTATCAACAAATATACATACAGCTCATGGTAGTTACAAAAGTATAAAGTAACAGTAAGGAAAGCAAATAATCCTTTAGAATGCACTGTCAGAAGCTGATCATTTCACACCTGTTTACATACAAGTTATGTTAATTATGTGAACAGGGACATGCTTCAGAAGCGCCTATATTTCAAAATGGCCTTTAGTGAATCATGCTACAGTTCTTTAAATGCATATCAATTACGTATTTTTTTTCTTCTAGGATACACCCCGACCTCAATCCCACGCTACTGTAGAGCGTCAGTCTTCAACTTGGCCAATTTCGCAGTCCTTTTTCTCTCCCATTCATTGTACTTCTCTTCTCCAACCCCTTCTGTCCACTTTCTAAGATGTGAAAACCATATTGAAAGGATAAAAGGCTGGCTTTGGGTCAGTCCCGAACAGCCTCAGGGAGCCATGGGCACAGCATCACCCTGTTTAGTTGTCTAGCTTTTACCCTGCATCCCCCCCAATCCCTTGCCCGTTTTTGTCGTGAGGGGACTTAGGAGGCGGAGACTGGGACCCAATGATGGGGAACTCCCCAACCTTGGGACTCAGCCCTTGACTCAACTAATTTTGCATGGTCTTTTTTCCATTCCTACTTTTTCGTTTCTGTCCCTTCACCAATCCCTTCTACTATCCACCTCCTAAGGTGTGAGAGCCGTGCTGAAAGGATGAAAGGCTGACTTTGTGCCAGTCCTGAACGGCCTGAGGGAGCCATGGGCACGGTATTCCCTTGCTTAGGCCTAGCCCTTACCCCTCAAGGGGACCCTGAGGGGTGGACTGTTTCTCTCTCCAACATACTCCTGGTTTACCATGGCCAATAATGAAAACGTAACCCCACTATTAGGGGCAATGAGGCTTGCCCCTTCATCAAATAGCCCCAACAATTCAAATCCTCCCGATTCCCTGACCCCAGGCTATCCTTTGACCACGGCTCCGAACACTGCAACAACTACCCCCTACTCAATGCCTACTTGTACAGTAGTCAACACTCAACCTCCTAGAGATATTCCTACTCTCCCATCATGCTCAACACCTCTACCTCCACAACCTTCTATATCAACTACCCCATCCTCCCTTATTAATACCTTACAGCCTTATTGCCCACCTCTCCATAACACTACCTCCCTCAACACTACTCCCTCTTCGACACGCCCCCGCCCTTCTACTACCCCTATCTCTACAACAATCCTAAATACTCTATTTAGCCCAGCCAAATGGGACCGATTTTTCGCGATCCCTCCCACAGCTCCCTACTCTGACAATACCCTTCTCTTCCAGCAATGTCTCCAAAAACAAGTAGGCAAAGTCTCTTTCCGTAGCCGACCCGACCGCTCCCGTCTAATAATGTATTTTATAGGGGCTGCCCCACCTACAAATTTGAGTCTGAGGTAGCAACTCTCAGATTCAAACTTGGACTCACACTACGTGAAGCCAGACAGGAAGACAGGTTTTTCTCTTAATCCCTACTCCAGTCATATTAACCATTCTACCACTTCCCCTACCTCCCAAGCTCCTACATCCTCTCCTAAACCTACACCCCCCCTCCATCTAACTCCCCCTCTTCTACCTCTTACCTTCCCCAGTCAAACTCTTTTGCCATCCTAAATCCAGACACTTCAATCTCTACTACAGACACTCCAATCTCCACTACAACCCCAACACCTTCCCCTCTCCCTCCCCGCACTACCCGCAACAGACAAAACAAACGTTCCACCCTCTCTTCCCCTACCACACAATCACCTCCACCTTCCTTTGCCCCTACTCTTGAGACACAAGTCTTCTCTTCCCCCCCTCACAAGAAATCCTTTATCCCACAAAACTCCCCAACCAACTCCATTGAAGAAACTCTTGAAAATATTCAAAACTTCTTAATGAAAACTGGCACCCATCAACCTTCAAATCCTACAACTCCTGCTCCCTCCACACACCAGGTGACTGCCGATATCCATCCTCCTCCTAACAATATCCCCCCTACACCCTAACCTCCTACCCCCTCCCAACACAGCCCATCCCCCCCAATTCCAACCCCACCCACATTTAACCCTCCCACCATCCCCTCTATCCCTTCCACTCCCTCCTGGATACACACGTGAATCCCTTATATCACAAGCATCCCCTTCCACACCCGTCTAAAACACCCCTATCTGATGTCACAATCCGATCCACCCCTATGCTCCTTATGTAATGTTCCTCTTTCAGTCTCACACATTCTATTATCATGCACACGTTTTGAAGCAGACTGTAGCTCTGCTTCCCCCCCTCCCCACCTATCCTCCCTTCACCGACCTCCCAACCTATTCTGCTTCGACAACCTGTTTTCCTTACTTAATCTAACCCCTTTACATTACCTCACCCGATCTTAACCCATTCACTCACCAATTCCTTTGCCCAGCTTTGACAACTAATCACTAACTTAACCACCCTTTACTAACATTTACTAAAGTGTTACATGACCTTAAATGTCTAGTACATTTATTTTGCTCTTAACCATTAACCATTTTACCCTTCATGTGGACCCTGAAGGGTAAGTCGTTTCTTTTCCCCGCATATTTTAGTCTTACCATGGCTAGTAATGATTTTATACCCTTGTTAGGGCAATGAGGCTTGCCTCTTTATCAGCTGTCCCCACTGACTTTAACTTTTCCAGTTCCCCGACCCATGGCTCTCCTTTGATAACGACTCTAAACACTGCAACTACTACTCCCTCCTTGATACCTACTGTCAGCTCAGTCCATTCCAAGTCACCCAACTATGTCATTACCCAATTTTCAGAAAACATTTTTACCTCTCCCAACATCCTCCACTCCATTTCGTCCTGCACAGTCTGCTGTGATGCAGTATTATTCAGTTCTCCACTGTTTCTTCTAGAGAACGCCGCAAGTCTGCTGCTAATATCACCAAGATTACTTTCCGTAAGCATGATTTCCCCATAAGGTTTATATTGGCGGAGTCCTGCCATGTCCGACCATATTGACCCCTGACCTGTCAATATCAGATATGTTGACCAAGTAGTGTCGCTCCACAGCCCACTGCCCTCTATGTGTCATATCGTTCTAAATGCTCTGTACAATCACGCACAAATGCCAATTGTGGTAGTTCCCATAATGTATTTTATAGGAGCTGCCCTGCCTACAAGTTTGAGTCTGACTTAGCAGAACTCAGATTTAAACATGGCCTCTCTCTAAACGAGGCCAGACAAGAACACACCGACGAGGTTTTCTCTCACCCTCATGCCACTGCTGCCCTTTGCTCCAATCCTCTCCCTTCTTCCCAAGATGCTTCTCCATTTCCTCCAATATTTTTCCACCTAACCCTTCCCTTCCCACTTCTATTCCCCCTTGAATTCTTTTGCCATTCTTGAATCTAGATACTCCAATTTCTATCACTTACCCGGTGCCTGCCTCAGCTTCTCCCTTCACCTGTCGCTCCAGACAATCTAAACGTTCCACCCCATCTTCTTCCACATTCTCACCTACACCTATCTCTTCCTCTGCTCCTCAG